CAGTACTCACCAAAATATTTTGTATGTTTTTAATCACTAGTTATCTACAGCGTTTGCAATTTCATCTGGCATCCAGCTGTTCATATTCCATTATTATACACATTTTCACTTAAATTTGGCTTTTAAAACAGTCAATACGTTTCGTAAATACCCTGTATATTGCCCAATAGTAGATTAAATCAGATTGAGGCGAGGGTAAATCTGTTTGTAATGTTCCAACCTCCAACATGGAATTGTCAAGTACGTATATTAATTTTTTTCTACTTACAGTTGAAAATATTATTATATGTATATAAATTTTATATCAGACACGGACGGCACTTCGAAGTCGCATAAAATATGTTTTTTGTGACAGACAGACAGACAGAGAGACAGACAGGCAGACGGACGGAGAAACATAATTTTTCATGTAAGAAACGTTCAATAAAAGTTAAGAGAAGAAAAATACTAATATTGCGAGATCAATTTCAGAATTAATTTCATTTCTTTGATCAGAGACTCTATGGTACTATATTAGTATCAATAGGTATCTCTAATAATATTGCGCCATACAGTCAATAATATCATATTGGTAAAGAAAATAGACAATTTTTTGCTTATAACAAAACAAATATAAGATGAAACTCACAATAAAATAAATTATTTATGAATGGTAGAAGCGCTGTCCCTTAAATTGAGTCTCGTTGGAAATTGCAAAATTCTGCACCGTCAGATGTCAACTATGGACTTAGGCTCTGTTTAAGGTTCGTTTATATGAATAGATCGTAAAGAAAGTCGAAAAAGTAAGACCGCCTTTGTAGTGCCCTTTCTATACAAAAGCACATTTCAACTTGTCCTAAAACAGAAAAAGTTGTATCGTTTAATAAGTTTTGAGATAATGTTGAGACATTTCTGGAATATTTAGGATGTATATGGGTTATTCAAAATGTACGCTTAGGTTTTTATTATCGACCGACTTTAAAAAAAACGAGGTATTCGAGTATATATTTTTTGTTACTATTGTGTGATTGTTACTGATTGTGTAATTATTTTTTTATAATATGTAAAACAGGCTGTATTTTCTTGGAGTCGATCATAAGTCAAATAATCTTTTGCTTTGTTCGATATATCTTTCATAAATATAATATTATTATTAACTGAACGGTTATAAAAAAATAACCCTTATCAATCATTGCGCCTTAACATTGAATACGTTTAGTATCCAAATATATTTTTAGAATAATGTATGTTTTTAGGTGCAACTAAAATGTAAAATTTATTAATATTCTTTTATCTATACATATAATAAAATTCTAACTAAGCCAAATCTGTACATTAAATATTTTTTAGAAAATCTTATTGAAAAAAAAAATATATTATCAATACAGAGGCCGAATCTATAGTTTTTAGAATTTTTGTCTGTCTGTCTGTCTGATTGTCTGTCTGTCTGATTGTCTGTCTGTCTGTCTGTCTGTCTGTCTGTTACCGCATCACAGAAAAACCACTGGAAGGATTTCGATGAAATTTGGTATGTTGATAGCTGCTTATCCGGGTCAACATATAGGGTACTTTTTACCGCGGGAAAATGTCTTATTTCTGAGAAAAAATACAAAACTGTAATGTAAGAGTATACTAATATGTAAAACCTAAGAATTTGGTTTTTGGTCATCTGAATGTGGGCGGAGCCGCGGGTAGTGCTAGTACATATAATAAAATTTAACTTGAATCGAATCTGTACATTAAATATTTTTAAGAAAATCTTATTGAAATTATCATTAATATCGATACAGAGGCTGAATCTATAGTTTTTAGAATGTTTGTCTGTCTGTCTGTCTGTCTGTCTGTTTGTCTGGAAACACATCACACTAAACATATTTTGATCAAATTTAATACGATGATAGCTGGTTATCTGGTTCAACATATAGGACACTTTTTGCTGCGGAAAAATACTTATAATTTTTTTATTAAACGTTAAAACGTACCAAGGGACGAACTCGAGCTGATGATATATAGGATGATTCCATAACACAGAAAAGTCATAATGTAGCACTTTCTTTACCGTTAATAAAGCTAAGAATCATTACGTTTTCCACTCACGAAACTGTATATAATCACTTAAAATTATTTTTCTTTCTTGTCATTTACACCCACTAATAAGAAGTCTCTTGGGGAGTAAAAGCAAGTCCGCTGTCAATCAACGACTTCCCTAATGTCACAGGAATTATTCGACCTAAAATAATTACATTGGGACCGGACTATGCGTCTAGAAAGCTCGATGTCTTAACAAGGCCATGACTGTAAGTTTATTTAAATAGGTGTATTTAGTCCTAGTCTTCAGTCTTTTTCAGTAAATACACCTCATTCTTACATATTTTCTGAGATAGCTCGATTTTACAAAAGGGCGAGCGAAGCTCAATCAATCCTCAATAACTTTTAACCATTTAAGTTATGTATATTTTTGTAATCGCCTCTTAAAAACTTGTATTTTTATACCCCACTCGATTGATTCGGACGAAAAAATTGTTTTCAAGATATAAAAATTGGAGCCTAGAATCCTTCATTTTGATTTTATTGATATTTATATACTCTATAACACTAATGTTATCAAGACGAATTGAACGACATACATACAGGTCAAATACATAACCCTCCTTTGGGCTTCGCCGCAATCGGGTAAAAAGTAAGAAGCAACATACATACATACATATGTATGTACATATTATGTATGTATGTACAAACATAGACAGTTATCTAAAAGCTGCAATCGATAAACAAAATTGTTCAAAATTCTATCAACTCATGACAATATATATGTATAGTAAGCAATAAAACTATCACCTCAGTACAATATAAGGCTGAGAGCGTGAAATTGAGCGGGTTTCGTCTGAAGTCTCACCAATCGTGTTTGCGTAGTTCTTGAACAAAAACCTCAAGCGGGATGAAGCGATACTGTAAATACTTGTATTGTAGCAAGAAAAAGAATTTTTAACATTTTATTGTAAGGAATTCTGGAGAACTAATTTGTTCAATAGAAACTCAATCGTGTGTCGACCTCGTTACAGCTTTTTCATTATCTTAGTTCTTACTAATCTTGCTAATATTATAAATATGAAAGTTTAGGCGGATGTTTGTTACTCAATCACACCACAACGGCTGAACAGATCTGGATGAAATTAGGCACAGAGATAGATTATAGTCTGGAATAAGTCTGGCACATAGGCCCCTTTTTATCCCAAGAAAATGTACACATTTCTTGAGATAGATGGTTTTGTTTTTTAGAGGTGAACACGAGCGAAGTGAGTGTGAACCGCTTGTAGGAGAATAAATATTGAAATTGTACACTAAGTAAAACATTTCGTAGATTATTTTAACTGAGTAAATATATTATGTATATTTACATATAATTTGTTTGTTTTATTTAAGCTTCCGTACTTAAAAGAAAAAAGGAAAATTAAAAATATACTTATAAATAATACGAATCTACTGTGAGAATTTTTAAACAAAAGAAATAGAATGAATAACCAAAATACGGACTTTTACATTAACATAATATATCTTGAATTTAGAAGTAAAATATAACAAACTAGTTAAATTTTCTAATCAAAGTTTCAAAATATTTTGTAATATATTTTCTGCATAAAAACAGTACCCTCCTTCTAAGTAATCGGATAAGTATAACAATTTGATATCATAGTATTGTACGTCAATAATAAATACGCACATAATACCCTTACCAGTAGACGAGTTCCCAAATCATTAACCAATACCGTTTCTGATATGAAATAGACATATTGATCTGAACAATACTTTGTTGTTGTGGACGAACACGTACCTACGCTCATTGTAACTTATATTAATTCATACTATACTTGGAATAAAGTTATATACCTACATGGAGTCTGCCAAAATAAACGTCTAAGTCAAAAATAGTAGCGTTATTTGCTGCTTATGCTACTTTTCTCGATTTGGCCTTTTTGAGTTTACTTTCTTTAATGATTAAGAGAAAATTAAATATTTATGTATTAGTTAAATTAATAGCTTATTATTTTTGCTATATTTTTATTTATTAACATTTATTTAACTATAAATCAGTATAAAAATTGTCTAGTTGTTTGTATACCTTTTTTAACCGACGAGAAAAAAGGGGAGGTTCTAAATTTGACACATATTTTTTTTATTTTTTATGTTTGAACATGCGTAACTTTTTATAGTGTAGTTTCATTTCGATTATTGTTGTTTTATTACATAACGTTTACCTCAAAGTTGGTCTCATTTAAAAGTTTTAGTTCTAAGTTTAACTTAACACATTCATAGTTAAACAGCGAGCTAATAGATAATTAAATTAATGAAAAACACAAAATTAAGAGCAACAACATTTGCTTTGTTGTTATAAAAATATCATCAGTATTATACTTCTCGGAATTCTACTAAACTAAACCTATTAGCGACTATATTTTGTTGCTACATTTTCATTTTAACTACGCAGAGTTCAATTAAAGGGGAACGTGTACAAATGTTATTTGTCAAAGTAAAAGGAAGGTATTTTATTGAAAAGTTGCATTCTGTTTGAATCGTGTTCTGAAATCAATTAACATTTAAAATTTCAACATTTATTCAAATGGGTTTTAATAAAAATACATAGATTTATTTATTTTAAATTTTAGCTGGCATCGACGGATTTTTATGTTACACTACCTTTTGCTCGTAGTTCCACTTACATAGTTTGTTTATTTATAATTTCTTTTTTTTTTCTTATTTCGCATAGATTAGGCCTACACTCTTTCATAATAAATCATGTATCTCGGAAACGGCTCTAACAATTTACATCAAATTTTGCATTTAGACTAGGTTTTGTTTTTTAAGTTTATCTTGTGTCTTTTCTAAAAAAACGCAATTTCTCACAAATAAAAATCTTTTTTATAGGTAACTTTTTAATAACATTAAAGTTTTTTCTATATGTTCTCATGCTAATAATGTCACATAGCGCAGTGTCGTACATTTTTGGACTCGCACTGTCGCCAATGAATGATAACCTAACGATCTTGCGCCGACGCCGAGCAAAGCTCGGTCGCCAAGGTACCAAGTTATTCTTCTTCTTCTTCTCGCTGCCCATTTCCCAATCACTCGGGGTCGCGCGCAGTACATCTTCTGTACTGCTGATAGGATTTGGCAAAAAGTATAGCAAGGTGCCAAGTTATTAATTTCTAAAATAACTTTCAAATCGCACTGATTGTACTAGATATAAACGGAATAAAACAAATAAAAACTTTAAAATATGTTTTGTTGGTTAAGTGAAACTCTCAAAAAGTTTTCATATGTTGTTTTGTGTCACCGATTTCGAAAAAAAGAAATACTTAAGTTTATAATCATATATCATGATTATAATATTATTAGGTTTACACGTTTTTTTTACTTATTAAACTGGTGTAAATAATATTCTATTAGAGTTGATTTTAATTTATCCCATACTCCAAGGATTCAGTCTATGGTTCGCTCGTCTGAACATATCTATTTATTCGACAATCACTTAACATAACCTCACGTTATGTACAAAATTTAATCTCGAAACCTAATCGAATCGATTACTACCTACATATATTGTAGTGATATGCGAACCAGCGTTTGACTTCTAATACATTTGCAACCTTCACCTTGACCTTTTGCCTTTACTCAAGACTTTAACCCATGACCCGCAGCCATATAAGCTCACCTCTAGACCAAGAATCCGTTTAAAAGTCGAATATCGTACTACTATTAAAATTACTCAAGTTTAGTAGTATGTGCGTGTTTGTTTGTAAGTCCTTTACGTTAAAACGGCAAAACGGATTTTGATGAAACTTAGTATACACATATATTTTGACCTGGAGTAACACATAAGCTACTGTTTGGCACCTAGTGATACATCCGAGTGAAGCAAGGATAAGTCGCCAGTCGGTAAATAGTACTAAAGTTTAGAATATTAGTTCTTTTAAAGTGGTACTAGTTCTAAAAATCCTTGCATGGTGTGTATTAGTAGATCAGCAGCAAGAGTCGAGCGGAAAGATGCGTATCTAAAGTTTATGTCACAAAAAGTGGGTCGAGATCCCTTTTATTTTATTAACATATAATACATTGAGTTTAGAGTTTAATAAAAACTGTTGGAAGTTGTTTCACAATATGTTCTGAGTAGTAAAATCAGGAAAAAGCTTTTTATTATGGCGGGTTTGGAAAATAGCTTTACTGGCTTATATAGTCTATTACAAAATTTATATGTTTTTCATTATAGAATATAAAGAATAACTCTTCTTGATTATTATGCAACACAATAGGTTAAAAATAGAGTAAAAAGAAGCAAAGTCACATTTATATTTCTTGTGTGTTTATACATAGGTTTTAGCACGGTTTTTACTAAACACCCTGTGTTACAACAAAGGCTCATAAATAAACAATCTATAGAAGAGAATATAATATATTATGCAATAGAGAACAAAGACTTAACTAATATTTTTTACACATAGAAAAAGGTAATTGAAAACCAACCAAACATTAACCACTGTCTAAGAATTTTCCGTCTTTTACTTCATATGCACTCTATATTACTGAGAGTAGTCAACTGCGCAGGAGATATTATAGTGCCTATGTGTACGCAGACACAAGTGCGCCCTCTAATCAAGTTTAAAGGGACGAAACTTCCATTCAGCCAGTGAGAATCGGGAAGCAGAACCGACGAATTACGTGCTCCTTACCGCTGGGGTGTAACACCGCCAACTTGTTATGAATAAATAGCGAACTGGCCTTGATAAGTACTCATATATTACCATAAAACTAGCATACCTAAATAATATACATAACTAGCAAAACCCGCAGCTTCGCTCGCGTTAATTATGAAAAAAAAACTTCTTTGGCTTTATTTAATAAGTAATTATTACAGAAACACGCCCGATCCCCCGCACACTCTGTGCCACCATAAACTGTGATAACTTGTGTCTCATTATTTTGATTGGAGATTATGTGTACCAATTTTCGAGTCAATCGACGCAGAAAATAAAACTTTTTACAGAAGATTCAACACCCCATTTCATACTCTTAGAGGTCGAATTTCAAAAAGACCATTTCTTAGTGGATACTTACATTTTACAAGGAAACACACTTTCCACATTTTATGGTTCCTCTAGGACCAGCGGTTTAGGCTATACGTTGATGTAACAGTCAGTCAGGACTTTGAATTTAATATATACTACATATATACTAATATAGTTATCTAAATAATGTGATGTCTGATAAATACAACCTATTGTAGTGAAAATTGCAAGACGAACAATTATTATGTCAGGTAAATATTATATGTATTGACTTTTATTGAACCGTTGTATTAAACTGAAAGAGTATTAAAGGGAGTGGATATTATAAAAACGTCTAAAACATGGTGAAAAAAGGTTTTATTTCTTTTGTTTTATTTTACTAGAAAGAAAATCAGCTCACGTCTTCCTTTTTGAAACCGTATCGATAATTTATTACGTATTTCAATATATTTATTGTATTTCCTATTTAATAATAAAACTAGCACTCCACAGATTTAGTCCTCTACCAAAAGTCTAACTAATTCTAAACCAGTTCTATTATTTATAGCGTTTGGGCATGTATTAAAGAAACCACCAAAATTATACTTTAATATGTTTATTGTACTTACGGGTACCTAAATTTTTACTATTCCTTGTTATCTATACATATAATAAAATTGTAACTAAGCCGAATCTGTACATCAGATATTTTTTGGAAAATCTTAATGAAATAATCTTTATTATCGATACAGATGCCAAATATTTTTTTTTAGAATTTTTGTCTGTCTGTTACCGCATCACAGAAAAACCACTGGAGGGATTTTGATGAAATTTAGTATGGTGAAAGCAGGTCATCCGGGTCAACATATAGGGTACATTATTACCGCGGAAAAATATCTCATTTCTGAGAAAAAATACAAAAACTGCATTGTAAGAGTACACTAATATGTAAAACCTAAGAATTTGGTTTTTGGCCATCTGAACGCGAGCGGAGCCGCGGGCAATGCTTGTACTTTTTATAAGAAAATCCGACTTGATTATTAGAAATATGAAGGAAAATGTTTGGATTTAAATAACATCCATAGATCTTTAAAGTATGACACACAGACCGATGGATAGCATATGCTTAATACATGGGAATCCAACTGGCACTATTATTATGGAACTGTAAAGCTAGCATAAAAGTAAACAAAAAATAAGGTTATTTCACTAACACGGTAGATAACAATCAAATAACCATCATGAATATAACTATTACAGTATTTGAACTAATTATAAGGGTCGTGGGTAAGATTTGATGTAATTGAATGTTGTAGGGACGCTGGAACTCGAGCAGAACGGTTTACGCGGTCGTCAGGGAATGTGTTTAACACATTGATCTAAATACGTGATTAGCTTTAGTACGAGCTCTTTAGATTTGCTTTAAGTTCCTTAGGAAAAATAAAATAAAGCTTTCCGAAAAGTAACTGTTCTACCCTTAGGATGATTTCTATTGTAATTTATAGGACTAGCGACTTAACCTCGTTCCGCTCGGGTTCGTTTCTACTTACGTTTTAACGTATCTATAAATGTATCGATAATAATGACTATTTCAATAAGATTTTCCAAAAAACATTTAATGTACAGTTTCGAAGTAGTTAGAATTTTATTATATGTATCTATAGATTATTTTAGAGCTGTATCTTTTTACTATGTAATGTATGTAATATATAGTCATAATATTGACTCAAAAATAATTATATTATGTATTTATTTACCATTCTTCACATTTGTTAGCTTTAAAATTATATTTAACAAGTCAATGACGGTCATTCAGATTTTTGTGAAACCGAGTACGAATGTTGTATATATATATATATATATATATATATATATATATATATATATATATATATATATATATATATATATATCAAAGCTGCATTAATTTTCTGTATTATTTTCCATTATTTTATCATGACTTATACGGTGGGCGTTATATGGGAAGTGTTGGTTCAAATAAAAGTCGATGCAATCCAAGTTGTATTTCAAATTAACAATAATCAATGTGTACATAGTTACACAGCACTTCACTACACAGCCATATACCACTTCACTATTACTACGTATAGACAAAACAGAACGCAAGACAGTTTCTACTAGCGTTCACTGTGCGACCGACCAAGCGTAACTCAGCCGAGCCCGGTCGAGTGTCACGACGTAGATTCTGTCGAGCCTGTAGTGAAACAACAAGATCCGTTGACAGACTGTTTATTTGACATCTCAATCAAATCACATTTAATTCTACATCTTTTCCTTTAATAATGAAAGTAACATGCAAATACAAATAATTATAACTAATAAATAATACTATTATAGACTCAAATTTAAGCAACATGCATTTATCTGCTAATTACTAATTATTACAATTTTTTTTTAGAAACATTTTTTAATTCTATCCCTAGCTTTATTTGCAGCTATCCTGGTTTGTCGCGCGTCGTTATTTTTACTAAAGCTCAGCGGTGAACAGTTATCAGAATCACCGACTTGTAGTTGGGAAGAACAATGTGTAGCTAATTCAGCACTACCTGAACTGTCACAGTCCCTTACCATGACCTCATTGTCACCATGTAGTGAAACAACAAGGTCCGTTGACAGACTGTTTATTTGACATCTCAATCAAATCACATTTTATTCTACAGAGCCCAAAAAGGTGGCGCTCGCGTTCCGATTAGTTGTGATTATGACTCGTCTCCGACATATATATTTAGTCATAAATAAGTAAATAAATATAATAACTAAAGGATAAACCTTCACTTATGTCTGCACGTTTTAGGTATTTATTTAATTATATTTGTTAAAAATAATCCATGATATTTATGTTCCGGATACAAAAACTTAGCCATCTTCATTTTTTGGCTTATAAACTACGTATTATTTCTATAAAAATAAACACGATGCGATTCCTTCCATTAAGATATTAATAGGTAATCAAGGATTTATGTATGCAAAAGGTAATATCGTTATTAAATGCAAATTGATAGTACGTCGTCTAAAATGCTAAATTATTATATGTACACCACAAAACCAAATACAAATGTTTAGTAATAGATATGTGGGTAAAACAGATTATTGAAATAGATATAAAATATTGTATATTATTATAGTTGTATAAACAACGTTTTGCTTAAAAAACTTTTATATTTTAATTTTCCACCCCTAGTGGGATAAAAAAAGGTGTTGAAGGAAAAAATATTGGACAAAAGCTGGAAGGTGAAAGCTGAAAATCGGGAATTAACAAATATAATAACGTAAGCTTGTGCATTACTTCTACGGTTTAACAGATTTGAGATATATAAAATAAATATAAGTTTTTGTTAAATAAAACTAAATTTTTGGATTTTTTGCGGATTTACTTTGATTTTTACTTTCTGACGCTTCGAATGCTTTACAGCAATCATCTCTTAAAAGGATTGATCATAATCACGGGAGAGACTCTTTGTTTTTGTTCTCCTTTTATTTAAAATGTCAACGTCAATTGTTTGCAAACGTCTAAGAAAATATTATAAATATAGCTATTATTTGTGATGATTCTTCCACACCAATGAAACCATGTACAAAAACTAATAAGGAAATCGTGAAAAATATAATACATTCAATATCTACATTACTCGTAACGTAAAGTATTTGGGCGTATAAAATTATATACTGGAGTCAAATTATTTTTATTCCTTTACTAAAACATTACAAAAACTTCAAAAATCCAACCACAAAATATACAAGAATATTCCAATATCCAACCACAAAATATACAAACTATACGAGAATGTCATATTACTACATATTTTTCTTGACAAAGACTCTTCTATTATTTGACATACAGCAAGGCAAACGTTACGTAGCACTCATACCAAGATGAACCTCTCAATTTTGCTTTCTGTTCAAATTGTAAAGTTGAAGGGTGCAGAATGAGGGTTGATTTAATTAATTCAGCTCTCGTACCGATATCGTAAAGTCTGCCTTTGTTTTTGATTGCCCTTTGAATGACATTTAACTGTGAAACGGTTTTGATAATTTGTATTTATGTTTAAATGTTCTTTACTAAATTTTATCTTTTCAACGTTTACAATTTATGTTTATCATGAAATTGTAGATAAGACCGACAAGTAAACAAAATAAACAACTCAACAATAATAAATTAAATTAATTAATTGTTATTCTTTAATCGACTTGATAAAGGAGGAGTTCATTCTATACGCAAAGAAAATTCAACATCCGAACAGTAATTCTGAAAGTTACCATCTACGTGCAAACTAAAAGCTTTTAAAACCTACTTTTAATACCTACGTTATGTATTCAATTTAATTTTGTTATAGAAAAAGAAATCATTTAATATTGTACGGAGAATATTTACGAAGAAAATATAAATATGTCATCACTTGAATTTCAATTTTATACGTTGCTGTGTTGTACTCTTTTAATGGATATTACATTTAGATATGATACTCGTAAATATCTTAATCATAATTTCTGTACTGCCTCATATAGTAATTTTACTTTTTAACCGCAGTAAATAAATAATCCTTTTTTCCCATTATTTTGTCCTCAGACAAAAAATAATCTATCCCACGGGAATCGTATATTTTTCCGGGATGAAAAGTAACTTGTGTGCTATTTCAGACTATAATCTATATCTGTGCCAAATTTTATACAGATCCGTTCAGCCGTTCTGGCGTGAAAGAGTAACAAACAACCAACCATTCATCCTAACAAACTTTCACATTTAAAATATTAGTATGGTTTATCTATTAAATAGCATCTAATTTCGTAAAAATGGCTATGTATATAATTTGATTGCATTTTTTTTACATTTACATGTGTTTCATATATTCTAGTCTCTCACAATACATTTAATCGATAAAAATAACAAAAAAATATATACAATTTATTATACCATAAGGACATGTTTCAAAGCTCTTCGTATTTAAAACTAAAGTCTATCCCTGAAAATTACTCGTACCAGGTTACAGCTGAATATTTTAAACCGTAAAAGCTAAGTTTAACGTGTAAAACTATTTTAAGTGAGCGAAGTTTGTGAGCGATGTGTTCGCGGGAAAAAGATACTCGTATTTAAACATGGGGTACAGACATGTTATATTAACTCGCAGTAAACGCGTTCCGTAATGTCAGTCGTTAGCTCGCATCGCTCGAGTGGGATTTAGCTTAAAAAGCAATTCTATTTGTTTTAACGCGATGCGATTTTCCATCAGCAATGGAAACAGTAGCTTAAAATACTTAAGTATTTTCTCATATCGAACTTTGATAATGATTAAATTTCGTCCTCTATTTACGGGTTAAAAAAGAAATCTATATCCATCGGGATGGATATAGATTTCTTCCTTTAGAACAGGGTTTCCCAACCTTTCTTCTGTTGAGTCTCCCCGGATTGTAAAAAATATGTACATCAACCCCAGCTTTATTTTGTAGTTATATCAAAACACACATTATTTTAAGGATTTTTATTTATTTTAATTTTAAGTTATACAAAATAAACTCTATCTATGCTCATGGTGAAATAGTTTTATTACGGAAATCATTCCTTAAGTGGTTGAGAATGGGGATGAAAATTTGTATGGGGAAGCAAGACGAGCGAAGCGATGGCGAGTCGCTAGTATAACATATTTATTGTTATTATTATTGGGTATATGTATTGTTACATTGCATTTCCTAACAAAAAAAAAGAAAAGGTAAATTTTTCATAAATGAGAATCCTCATTTTACTAGGCATTAAAATAACTATTTTTTGTAGTTTCTCAAATTTCCTAAAAGCTTACATTATATTGAATCTTATTTCCAAAAAATACTAATAAAATTTGAGTACGAAAAAGAAAGCTACGACTAAGAATGCTTTAAGAAAAATGTTATTTTAAAAGAAAACAGGCGACCGAAACCAGATTGAGTTATATTTAATCCATCGTGATTTAGAAGTCCCGCGTAATTCTTACAAATATACGAGTTTTGTTATTAGAGTACTCAGTTTTCATTAACAGAGATTGCAATCAATTTTATGTTTTGATAAAATATATGATACTAGTAAAACCCGCGGCTTCGTTTTCGCTAAAACTACGAAAAATCTTTAAAAAGGTAGTTTCATCTCAGGTCAGGTCCTCTTTAGGAATTAAAGACTCAGGTTTGAATCTCGCTGATGCAAAGTTTTTCAACATTGTTCCCTAATAATTTCTTTTTTGTTGACTTAAAAAAAAAAACAGAATAAATCGGCTATTTCCACACTGACGGGTCTAATATTTGTGATATACCTATCTTCACTAATTAAATACAACTATTGAATAATAGATTAGATTATCTCAAAAATTCATTGTCATCGGAACTCAGCCAACATGTAAAATTTTAATTCTATAGGATAAGAGGAAGCGGTTCTAATTGAGCTTGCAACATTTAGAGCTTTATTTAAACCTTGTAAAATAGCAGCATTTGCAGTATTTATTAGACTAGAATTTGTTTATTATGTGTCATTATAATATTTCAATCGCAGTTGGCTAATCTTAACGAGATTGGCCAAAATTGGTAAGGAGGTTATATTATAGCATCCCTAGGGTTAGCTTCTGAATCTAAAAAAAAATATGATTTGCAAGACCGCTAATACATAATTGTATCTTAAGCATATATTCTATATACCATCAATGCCGTATTTTTTCCACCCTTTACAAGGTTTTCCACTTTAAATTAAACATGATAAGATTCGATCGTCTAAAATACACAAAATATAGCTCACATTGAGGGATATATTCACAATTTCCTGCAGAAAATCCTCCGTAAGAGGCAGCTTTATTCAACACTAAATCATAATATTGCCCTAACGAGAATTAGAGGCGCCAGTATTATCCTGCATATCAGTTATACTATTTAGGACTTTATCTCTTGGGAATAAAGCATGTGATGGTTCGATGAAGCAAAAGATCTAGGGTGGCGAGCTTCTTCGTATGTGTTAATTATGTTTTCGAGATTAGGTCGGGTACACATAGGCGATATGTCTCCGCATAAGCTAAGCCCTACACAGCTGTGGAATAAAGTACAGTAGGGATCGTCCAATAACGGATGCTGTGCTTCATGGGTTTTCTATTTGGTACATGTAGAAGTAAGTATATACATATATAATTAATAATTTAGAGAAAATGGTGGTCATGTCTGAATTGTTTGTGAGAAAATATATTTATTATAACATATTTTTTTAATAATCTAAAAGAACATCAGTATTATATATTATACATATATCACATATTGCATAACATGTATTAGTGGCGTAGCTTTTTAGCCGAAGCTTTAAGTTTTATAAGAGACCATTATATGTGACATTCGCATTGTAAAGTTTGCTTATATATAGATATTTTAAGAACTAGTATAAATATATACAAAAGATGTTCTTAACAAGTACCAACTATAATATATTTTGTCATGAAAATGCTGTACGAGCTTTATGCGACCACTTAATTTTACGCAAGCTCCACACCTGAGTGAGGCATATTTAATGTACGTCGCTCATACGTCGCCGATTAATCATTGACTTAATAATTATTATCGTAGGATGTACATGGTGATGGAGAGGGATATATTATGGCTTCTTTATCTCTTCACATAAATAAAATTAAAATATTCACTCGCAATTTTGAAATATTTTCTCATTTACATATAGAATTTGACTGAAAAATATGTCATCTATCTATACATATAATATTTGTAACTAAGCTGAATCTGTAAATTAAATATTTTTTGGAAAATCTTATTTGAATAGTCATTACCGATAGAGAGGTCGAATCTATAGTTTTTTTAATTTTTTTGTTTATTTATCTGTATGGGAACGCATTCAAGAAAACCACTGCACAGATTTTGATGAAATTTGGTGTGATAATAGCTGGTTATATGGGTCAACATATATAGTTTTTACTGCGAGAAAATATCTCAACTCTTAGAAATCTATACTAAACGTTAAAATGCAAAGATCGAATCCAAGCGGAGCGAGGGTGAGTCGCTAGGCCTTATATAAATTGTATTAAAACAAGTAAAAGTAATTTGCGGTGGTATCAATTAAATTAATTACTACAGTGCCTTATGTTGCGTAATATGTGGTAATTTTCTTTTTTTTTAATGTATATATTACGAGATCTATCAGATCTCCGTTGACTATAATCGTTTGGAGTAATAAGTTAAAAACCTTAACCCTAAGTCTTTTAGTGCGGAAAACTTTATTTCACGTTTTTAAAATTGTGGAAAAAATAAGGACCTAACCTAAAAAAACCTACTGAAATAAATAATCTATACATATAATAAAATTCTAACTGAACCGAATCTGTACATTAAATATTTTTAGGATAATCTTATTGAAATAGACATTATTATCGATACAGAGGCCGTTTTTAGAATTTTTATCTGTCTGTCTGTTACTGCATCACAGAAAAATCACTGGAGGGATTTTGATAAAATTCGGTATGGTGATAGCTGGTTATTTGGGTCATCATATAGAATACTTTTTATTGCGGGAAAATATCTCATTTCTGAGAAAAAATACAAAAACTGCAAAGTAAGAGTATACTACTATGTAAAACCTAAGAATTTGGTTTTTGGTCATTTGAACGCGGGCGGAGCCGCGGGCATTGCTAGTAATAAATAAAACTATATGGCATTGTATAAGATACATAAAGCATTTTGAAAAACTAATATTTTCTACACTATAAATATTTTTGTAATAATAAATCCACAATGCAGCTGGTGGCGAGCTGTTGATGAGTGTGAACACATGAGATCTCCTGTTGAAAATAACATCTATCCACCACCTCTGACCATGCATGACTCGATGCTTAAAGTCGCTTCACTCAGTATTTTCAAAAAAACGGACGACATACTCTTTTGAGTTTAATATGATCTGAGGGTGCAAGAAGTAAGCAGAAACCAGCCTAACCTAATCTATGAAGCTCTCACGACTGATTGATGTTTGGAAATTCGTCAAAAAGTAACATTGAAATCATGACGCAACTATGTAATATGCAATACCTAGATTTAAGGTCCATCTTTCTCCATTGTTGAGCTCATTTGGGGAAAAATTTTGCTTGCTTTTTGCGGTGAATCCCCGAGTTTAAAGAGCTACACAATAAATAGCACTTGGTCTCGAACTCTTCTTATCTCGAGCAGACAAAGTTTGCTGTAAAATTTTATAAACTGCGTCTTTTGTAAAATTCTTCTAGCATTGAATAACCCTGTGACTCGTTGAACCTTGACCTTAAATCCTTAATAAATTAATGAAGAGAAATTGAGACTGTATGTATCAACTTGAATACAATTATATTCAAGTTTATAATGATTTTAAACATTGGTTAGCCTGTATTGATTTGTGCACCAAACTAATACTTGGACCATTTCACGGACACTGATCGCATTCGAGATTCTGCCGACCCTTCATCAGAGTCAAACGTGACTTGGGTAAGGAAAACATGCCGCTTTACAATAGAAATCATTAAAAAATTATTTTTAGGCTGTTTTTATCATAGAAGTATTGAAATAAAACCAAAGTAAACTTAATTTAAAAAGACTTTTACAAGCACTTTCGAATCTTCAATTTAATATAATTACTCATATATGTACGTTCCTAAACATAATATAATTGTTTACAAACATACAGTATCTACTTTTAGCTGATATTCAGTGCTTGAATGATGTTGAGGCTTCTGAGGTAAAGGCTTAAAATGTACTTTGGGACTTAAAATAATAAGATTTAGTAAAATACGTAATTTGGCCTTGCACTAAAAAACTATTTAAAGAAATTGAGGGTAACTCATTACAAGCTGTTATTTTTATTTGAAATCATTAAAAAGGATACTTTTTGTTTTCATAATACGGTTTAATAATTACACTAAAATATTTCAAAATAACATACGTAAATTTTAATTGCATACCTTCGATATTATATTTGTATACTGTTTCTATTCAGATTTTAGACCACAATGTATTGATTCCAACAATTTCAGAGTTACATCGAATTTACTTCAGTAGAGCGCAATATTAGTTAAAAATATGTATAGCTTTGTAAAATATTAGTGAAATGAACTGGAAGTACAATGGATCAGAGGGGTAGAGATGAAATTCTCAACATCTCACATTCTTTACATTTTATTTAAAAATATGACCTTAAAAGTATACATTAATACATACATGAAATGAGAGATATAGAGACAGAGAGACAGAGAAATAACAAAAATATTTTAATTTTAAAGATTTTTGTTATTTATTATCTACTAGACCACTGAAGCTATTTTGTAGTTTTTTTGACTATGTTTAATACTATGAGCTTCCCCTTACATCAATCGGGTGCATCCTTTGTTGCATTTAGCGAAGAGATACAAAAACATAAATACATAATTTATTATATAATAATCTTTTGGCGAGCGATCAACACCATCTTTTAGCAAATTTTACAGCTAACAGTAGCCTATATATTGTCTAACCAGCTGTTTCAGCGACAAGAAGTAACAAACATACAGACACGCACATATATCCAGGTATACAAACTTTTACATTTATAATAATAGTATCTTGAACTTATTCACTAAAACATATCAGATCGGTGCTTTGTGAAACCTAATCACAAATGAAGGGTCCCAAAGCAATTTTAGGCTTATTCCGATATTAAATAAAGCCACCTGTATATACAATTGTAATGTTTGAATAGCTAACACGGATTGAGGTCGTATTGAATCCTTGCGTACTTTTTTGTGTACTTGAATAAAATTCAACAAAACGCTCATATTGGTTTGGACCCTCAAAATTAGATTTCGTAATATGATTTTCAGTACAACTTTATTAGGAACTGATTTAATCAACGTTACCTTTCAGAAACCTTATTATAAAAAAAAATACTTTGGGATTTTGACATCATATATCTTGATTGGTACATGGTTTTTGGATAGACGGAGAGATATACTCACGCATTATTAGTGAAATACATACAAAACTCTACGTCATATACCTTGCGAGGCAGTCAGATGCTTTGGTTCCATTTAGATAATTACCTCGATGTGACATGGAAAAAATAGCAACCAGTAAGGTAGAAAATAGTACGAAGAACTGCTGCGGTAAGATTTTAGAGGTACATTATCTGTATAAATATGTATTATAAATGTGAAAGTTTGTGAGTATGGATGTTTGTTACTCTTTCGCGCCAGAACGGCTAAACGAATCTGGATGAAATTTCGCACAGTGATTAATATAGATATAATAATAGACTATAATAGTCTGGAATAATATGTGGGCTACTTTTTATCCCGGAAAAATATACGGTTCCCGAGGGATAACTTTGTTTTTGTTTCTCTGTATTATATAAAGGAACCAATATTTTAGTAGACTCTCAATATTTTTATTAGAGCCCTTATAAAAGTTTAAATATATAAAATATTTAAACACCACAAATTACTATGGAAACCTTAAGATTCAAAACTTTGAATCTTCATCGGCCAAGTTAACAGAGTTCTGAATTAATTTGGGCCGAACAACTTTGTCTTCAATAGGCGTCATGTTAGAATGATCTGAACACGTTTAAACATATTCTAACAAAATTCCCTATTCCAATACTTAATAAGTTGCATTAAAATTATAGTTTTCAGGTAATAATCTATGACTTATAGAAAACTAGTGGTTGAAATTTGATCACAATATTTTTTTTATCGATAACACTAAAACTCGTTAACAGCTGTTACTAAGCAAAAAAAAAAAGAACTCGGTTAACAAACAGAGGAGAAAAAGATACTGAACGGTTTTTATCTTTGCCTATTCATATAATATAGAGACTGTGATACACTATATGTAGTATATTATGTACATTTAACGAAATTGTATCATATTATACATATTATATAATATAACAACTCAATTTTTGTTCGCTGTATGGGAAGAGTGGCTAAGCCTCCAGCGCTATTACTTACCACACGAAACGTATACGCTAGTATACGTATACATATATATATATATATATATATATATATATATATATATATATTCGAAAAACATGTTTGCTTTAAAGAGCTAAATGTATTGTAATCAAATCTTTTTTTTTTATATATGTCTTTTATATGTTTACTCTAACACATACTCTGAAGACGAGCATTAGCGAGCATTGTATTACAAAAAAATATATTATAATATCCTATGTGTTATACAATAATTAAAAAATAGTATGTAACTAAAGGATATGATTATTAACAATATGGTTCTTTTGTTTATATAAAATGTCGAACCACTGAAAAATAAAAGCAATTTAAATTCAGTTTATTTTTACATTTATTTAAGGATTTATTTAAAGAAAAGAAGACTCGTTGCGATGCATATAATTGTTTATATTCAAGATACTTATCGAGTTGAAGATTGACTGTCGCTTCATCAGTGCGACGTGACTCGAGTCATAATACTAAATTTCACGTTGTACATACTATACTTTTAGATAAAAAGACTATTTTTCTGATTTTTCGTGATTTTATTTGGTATTTTCTTTAAAAAAATCCAAAAAAGTTTAAATTATTAAAATTTTATTAAAAAAAACATGAAAATCGAATAAAATATTATTAATATCAATAAGCTTTTAATACTATAATTATATATATACTTTTAATATTATATTGTTTCATAAAAACTTAAAAAAAAAACATCTTCCAGGCACTAAAATGTAAAAAATAACTAAACGGGGATTTTCATTTAGAATAGATACCTAATGAGATATTTTCGAAGTCAGTGCCAGCCGATGCACAAATGTATTATATTTAAAATATTGTCTATACAAGTCTCATGTATACAAGTCTCATGATAAACGAGTATACGTTATGACATATTTAGTACATAATACTTTCTTAGATTTACGCATATTTGACATTTTAAATGAAATTATCTTTTTGGATTTTTTCGCGGATTTATCTTGATTTTTGGTTCCCGACATTTCGAATGCTTTACAGCAATCATGGTCACGGGAGAGACTAAGATTTTAGACATCTCAAAGGTCATATTCTTGTTACAGACAGTGCCTACATACAATTTTACAAAATGATTTCAAAAATTCCGTGAATACTGTAAAATTGTAAAGCATTCGAAACATCGGGAACCAAAAATCAAAATAAACCCACGAACAAATTTGAAAAGATAATTTTATTCAAAATATTCTATACAAATACAAAAACAGAAAATATTTTAAGATACAAGTACCTTAAATCAGTCCCGTAAAATTCTAGCGTATCACTTTAAATGTTACGCCGGCAATTCTTTACGAGTTTAGAATAATTTACTGTGTAACATTTGTTTCGAGACTACGAAATAAACAAGGAACGTCCCAACAACATTACTTACAGAGCGTGCTATGATGAATTCAACTGAAGACTGTATCTACGAGTATATATGTACACTAGCACTGACCGCGGCTCCGCCCGCGTTCAGATGACCAAAAACCAAATTCTTAGGTTTTACATATTAGTATACTCTTACATTGCAGTTTTTGTATTTTTTCTCAGAATCGAGATATTTTCCCGCGGTAAAAAGTATCCTATATGTTGACCCGGATAACCAGCTATCATCATACCAAATTTCATCAAAATCTGTCCAGTGGTTTTCTCGTAATGCGGTAACAGACAGACAGACAAAAATTCTAAAAACTATAGATTCGGACTCTGTATCGATAATAATGTCTATTTCAATTAGATTTTCCAAAAAATATTTAATGTACAGATTCGACTTAGTTACAATTTTTTTATATGTATAGATAAAGTGGGTCCATTGTAAAATTATAAGTAAATATATCTGTTTTTGTATATTTTTGCAAAAAAAAATATGTACGCAAATAAAACTTATTTTCTTGATTAAAAATATTGAAGACTAAAA